GTCTACATGCCTAAATGCACTGAGTTGCCGCCATGTGATTGGCTGATTAGAAATTAAGTGTTAACGAGCAGTTGGACAGGTGTACCTAATAAAGTGGCCGATGAGTGTATGTTTACAGCATTGCACCCATGGGGGTGTTTACAATGAAACCACGTGTTTAACACGTGCAGAACACATCTCATCTGTTAATTGATCTTATTTAATTCAGTAGGGGTGGTGGGGGGGCCACTGGTTACCTGCTGCTCCTGGACCCCAGGTTTCTGTGCTGCACACCTGTCAGGATTCAAACAGGAGGAAGACATGAAACCATCAGAGCCTGCAGCACCGACAGCTTTGTGCAGACACAAACTGAGTTCAGGAGTTTCGGACCTGAATATTTGGTGCAATGCGAACACTAGAACCGCTGCATGTGTTAGCAGATAGAAACCCCCCCCACACACACACACCCTCGCTCCATCTATCCATCGCTATAACAATCATAGGGCGGGTGGTGCGACTCGGTCCGCACCGCTGCTGTCGTCCTCCGAGCCTCCGCGACCCCCCAGCAGGAACCGGCAGGGCGTCTCTCCCGTCCAGTGATGTGAACAGCGGGGAGACTCAGGCCCGCGAACCGCCACGTCAGACCGATTAGTCAAATAAGCTCTCGGGTGGGGAGGAGGACATACCTGCCTCCCCCCCTCCTCTGCTCGCGGGCTTGCCTCGCCGCATGTACGGACTCAGACGCCGCTGCCAGACAGCACAGGAAGCTCGGAGGAATATAGAACTTTTCCTTATTTATTTTATTGTTTTTATTGTTTGTTTTTGTTCGGCTGGGCGAGACCGTGACGGCGTGTCCTCCCCTCCCGTCTCTGCCCCTCTTTTTCTGGGCGAAATGGCGAAAGAAAACGGCGAGCCCGGCGATGGATCCTGGAAAAAGCACGTAGATGACATCAAGAAGGTCTTTGACTTCAAGGAAGTCCTCGGGACGTGAGTAAACCAGACAAAAACACCGAGAATTGATGGGAAAGTTGGGAGGGAAAGATAATTTAAAAAAAAATCACGTGCGACAGAAACAATAAAGCTACATTTGTTGTGGAGCGGAAACCAGAGCAGACTGACAGCTGTTGAGTCTCTGTTGAACTGCAGCGATTTAAACCGACTTAATTCACCATTAATGATGCTCTGTTCATTCAGGACTGCTGCAGCCCGCAGACTTTATGTCCTGGGCTCCATTTCATTCACAAACCAGCATAATTCAATGTGCCAGAGTAAAGTTAATGCACAAAATGCTGGGTGCTGAATTACCTACAAGAGACTTGAGTTGTGAAAGCTAAAAGAAGCCTGAAGCTAAAAAAGTTGTGAGGAAAAGCAGCAAAATGCTAACAAATTCAGCCCAGAAATGCTAGCTGAAAATTAAAAATATGAAAATGCTAACTTAAGGTAACAACATTGTAACTAAAAGGAGAAAAGTAGGACTAGCTAAAACGTGAAATATGCTTGCTAAAACCAGCAAAATGTTAGCTGAAGGTATTTCTAGCAAAAAATGTAAAAGTAGGAAGAAGCATAATGCTAACCTAAGAAGCAAATTGCTAGCAAGCAGTAGCATAATGCCAATTAAAGGTAACAAATTGAATGCTTAAAAAAAATAAAAGCAGTAGGGTTAATTACAACACACCTGTTTCATTGATTAAATCTCAAGTTCTTCAGAAACCCATTAATCACTTCATTAATTGAACGCAGGTGTGTTGGAGTAGAGCAACAAGTGGAACATGCAGGTGTGTGGCCCCTGTGCACACAGTTAAAGGAAAAAAAAGTTTTTTGCAGGAGTGGATGTGGTGCAGATGAGAGCTGGGTGTCTCATATGTAACAGTGAGATTGGATGTGATTGTGGAAGAAGTTGCCAAGCTGCTGGAGGTAGATGATAAACAGGAGAGGGCCGAGGAGAGAGCCTTGTGAAACTCCAGAACAGAGAGGATGGATGAGAAGGAAATGACTTTAACTGAACAAACTGTACAGTCAGAAAGATACGAAATAAACCAGTTAAGGGCTATATCTGAAATACCAATAAGCTACAGGGTTATAGCTTCTGATGCTAGCCACTTATCCTGTTGTCACACACTGGTGCTAGCTGTAAATAAACAAACAAGCCCGGCAGGGAAGCAAGTAACCGTAACCCTAAAATACACTTAGGATCTCTGCCAACACATGACAATCTCTGAGGATGGTGCGTGACACGGTGACACTTAAATCTAGACGGATGGAGATGGAGAGGAGTCCAGATCAGCTGTGAGGAGGTTATTAATGATTTTCATAAGTAGAAATAAATCACTAAAATTTCAAAGGAGCAAAGCAACTGAATCTACCAAAATGTAAGAAAAAGCTAGCTAAAAATAGCAAAAATGCCATTTAAAAGCTAAACTTAAAACATTTTAAAACTAGCCAAGCAATAGCTAAAAGCTATAATAACATATTGCNCTTTAATACACTGAAACACGATGTTTACATCAGTTTTACGTGTTTGTAATTTGCCATGAATTTATGAAACACACAACTTGTACCTTTCTATTTTTTATCAGGAAAACAGAAAATGATAAAGTGCATTTTGGACCAAAAAAAAAAAAAAACCCACGAAAAACAAATATTGTATAAATAACAAATTGCTAGCAAAAAATCAATAAACTTCTCACTTAGAACAGCAAATGCAAGCTAAAGACAAACATCAGTAAAAAAAAAACTAACTAAAACTGACAAAACACTAGCTAAAATTATTGAAACACTAAGGAAAGTATAAGCTAGCTAAAAGAAACAAATAAATTGAGTCCAAAGCTGGCCGTTGTTAGCTTAAAACAAAAAGTAGTAAAAACAAAAGGTAAGCTAAAAGAAACAGAACACTAGCTAAAATTATTCAAGCACCAGTGAAAAGTAGGTAAAGGCTAGCAAAAAATAAAACTAAAATAAAAAATAATAAAAATAAATTGCAATCAAATAGCAACAAATTGCCCACTTAAATAGCAAAATGCTAGCTAAAAACAAACAGAAAAATCAAGCTAAAAGTAACAAAAGACTAATTAAAAATAGGGAGGCACAAGCTAAAAGCTAAAAGTAGGTAAAGGCTAGCTAAAACTGCAAATTGCTGGCTTAGAATAGCAAAACACCATAAATAAAAAAGTAAAAAAAAAAACCCAGCAAGCTAAAAATAACAAAAGACTAGCTAAAAGTAGCTAAGGGCTGTTTATAATGACAGCTTAGACAAAGTCTAACTTTCTGTGATCTGTTTAAATTTTGACGTTTCTACTGAGAAATTTGATCCGAGTTTTCTCACATGTTCCACCAAAGACCCGTTACAGTCTACAGGAAAACATTTGACAATTTATGTTTTTTACTGCAAATTTTATCCAGGTTAACATCCTGCGTTAAAAAGTCAAAACACATGATTCCTGATCAAGGCACATATTCAGATGTAGAATTAGCATATTTTCTTTAAAGGCGTGGGCTGTGAAAACGGACAGTGTTTGTGAACAGAATCATAATAAGGGTGCTTCACTGTTTATGACACTTAATAATGAAAGCAGTCATGTTGTTCTGGCACCGTCTGCGGGGACTTCGGTGCTCAGTCTCTCTTCAAACAGAGGAGCAGGTTTTTGGCTAAAACAAACATTACGTCTGGTCTTTCTGACACTCGTTCCCACTGTAAACAGCTGTGAGAAGCTGCTCCGCCGTGGGTTTGTGTGTCGGAAGAGTTTGGCTGAAGTTTCGTCTCTTGGAGCTTAAATTCCTGTGTTTATTTTAGTCTGCATTCTGTCAGCTCAGCCTTGTTTTGTGTTTTTGTGTCTGTCTTTTTCAACTGAGATCCCCCCTGAGACAGCCGGCCCAGAGATGCTGCTGTAAGGTGTCGAAACACATTTAAAAGTGCGTTTCCGCCATTTCAGTGGAACGGTTTTGCCCTCCCCAAAGACGCCCGCTCGTCTCGGCTGAGAAAAATGTTGGAGATTTGACGGAAGGTCTTTGCCGGGAAGAAGCGTTCCTCTGGGGAGTGGGGTTGTTTGTTTTTAATTTGGCCCCAGAAAGTGGTGTCAGGCTTCACAAAAATGGCCATTCCTCTCTCTGGTTATTGGTTTAATGAATGAGAAAAGAGAGTTTCTGCTCTAAGAAACTCAAAGTGTGAACTTAAAGCGTCCTTCCTTCTCCTGGTTTTCTCTGTTAGTGTCGTGCCTCTCTGACTGACTGCAGCTCTGCTGCTTCGTGAGGAGAAGCTTTAGCATCATTAAAGATCCTTTCAGATCGGTGATTCAGGAATCAAACTCTGGACTGAGCTCCTTTTACCTGGAGGCAGTTCTGATTTCCCCCTCAAGGCTTTCTGTTTGAGGATCCTGTGAATAACACCTGTGAATCGTTGTGTTCATGAGATGGTTTGAGGAGCGCACACACACAGACACACACAGAAACACACAGTCTTCTTCGCCCACGACAACCCAGAGCTCGTTACAGAGTCCAGGCCAATTTTTGAGGAAGGTCAGTTTCATTGATCGGGCAGAGGGCCCCGTTGCCTCACAGCGGGGTTCACGACAGGACACTGGGTCGAGACGAGCCCAGCAGGCCTGCAGCTTTGGCCTGAGGATTAAAAATGGAAGAGGAAGGACTTTTGTTCATAAGAAGAGGAAGATTATCTTCTTCCTCTTGCTCCACCTGTTAACTGAAGGCTGAAAGTTTTCATTATTTCTCCATCTCCTAAAAAACAAAGCTTTATTTGTTAGGAACACAAAACCAGTTTATTAGTAATTGCTTTTAGGATGTATTATTTACCTGTAAGTGGAGGAGTTTAAGTAGTTGTGGTAAAGAAAGAGTTGAGTCTAAAGCAGGGCGGCCCAAACTTTTTCCCAGAGAGAGCCAATTGCAATAATATAATGCATCCAATGCAAATACTTTTAAAGTAAAAATATATTTCTTTTATTTGCTAGCAGCCAGTGCAGTGGCCCATTTTTTAAAATTTATTTATTTATTTATTTAGTTAGTACCCTGTGCACTTGGAGAAAGTTTGACATACTGTATATGCTCGGGCAGCAAAGGCTCATGGCTCCGAATCCTTAAACAGTCTTAAAAGACATTGAATTCATCAATCCAAAAACAAGGCCTTAATTAGCCTTAAAATGTCTTAAATCAACCTTTCAAAGGTCTTAAATTTTTTTTAAAACATTGTAAGAATGATTATAAATCGTGTCAAATATTAAAACAATTGGTAGTTTTAATTTATTTATAAAAATAATTTACTGAATGCCTCTCTCAGCTAGTTGTTTTGTGTTAAAATAAACATTTGGGTAAAATTGTTGCATTTTTTTATTTCCATTTGTGTTGATTGTTGGGTTGGGTCTTAAATTCCATTTCAAGTGGCATGAAAGGGTCTCAATAAGTGTTAAATTTAACTTGCCTTAAGTAGGGCTGGGCGGTATGACCTCAAATTCATATCATGGTATAAATTGGATCCCTTCACGGTAACGATATATATCGCGATAGAAAATTATCATAAAAAGCAAAGATAATGTAATTTTTAGAGCATTTATTTTGCAGAAAACTGTAATCGTAATCAAGGCCAGTATTTTTGCTGTAGTGCACATGAACATAACAGAACTACAGAAGAATGTTTTTTATATATTGTAAAACCATTTCAACAGCAAACAAAAACATTTTTTCAAATTTTCAACAATATCAAAATAAAGTGGATGTTATAACCTGAACTTCAAGTAAAATTAGTAATTTAGACATAAAAAATACAATGTTGCCTAAAATGTTAAAGTGTAACAGGACCTTAAGGGGCTTAAGCTGCATATAGTCCTGTCGCAAAACAATTTCAGATAACTGCAGTGTAAGTGTGGTGAAGCTAAATAAATATAACATCTGCCTGCCATACAATGAGCTTCTGCCTGCTGAACTTATGGCTGCTGCTCTGCTGCACTCTCATCTTCATCATCAGAGCAGAAGCCGACTTTAGG